TTCCTTTTCTATAATTTTGATATTAACGACACGTATGGGGCCAAAGTGTATATCCTTTCTCTGTCTTGTTATTATTGTGTTTGAATTTGGGAGAGTGAGACCATCCCACAGGATCTTAAGGCCCCTGTAATAATTCATCTTTTCAAACGTAAAGGAACCCGTCAGTCCTGTGATAATCACCGAGGTATCTCACTGCTATCAGTTGCAGGAAAGATTCTTGTCAGGATTATCCTGTGTCGTCTCACAGCTCATCTCGACAAAGGCTTCCTTCCTGAAAGTCAGTTTGGTTTTAGAAAAGATCGTGGAACTGTTGATATGATTTTCGCTGCTAGACAGCTGCAAGAGAAATGTTAAGAACAGAATTCGAACATGTTTTCCACTTTTATTGATCTAACGAAAGCGTTTGACATGGTAAATTGAGAGGGGCTGTGGGGGATTATGGAGAAATTTGGTTGCCACACAAGTTCAACCAGATAGTGCGTCAGTTTCACGTTGGCATACAAGCAAGAGTGCAGGATAAAGGCGAACTGTCAGAGTCCTTTCCTGTCAGAAACGAAGTCAAACAGGGCTGCGTGCTTGCACCGTCACTGTTTAGTCTGTTATTTTCAGCCCTGCTGACTGATGCCTTTGTAAATGATCACACTGGAATCGACATGAATTACCGCATGGATGAAAAGCTGTTCAACCTCAGAAGGCTGAAAGCAACAACAACAACAACAACACACACAAAAACTAAATCAGACACCACCAGGAAGCTGTTTGCCGACGTTTGTGCCCTTTATGCCAACACAGAAGCGGATATGCAGCACAAGATCGACAAATTCAGTGATGCCTGTAGAAGCTTTTGGCTCACTATCAACAAAGATAAAATTGTAGCCAATCACCAGCCAGTCCCAGAGCAAAGATACATCCAGCCCAATATCACAGTGAATGGCTACAGATTAAATGTTGTCACGACAATTTACTTATCTGGGCAGCAACCTTTCACAGAGCGCCACAAGTGATGACACAGTAAATGTTGTCACGACAATTTACTTATCTGGGCAGCAACCTTTCACAGAGCGCCACAATTGATGACACAGTAAATGTGGTCACGACAATTTTCTGGCAGCAGCCTCATAGGCCACAATTGATGACAAAGTAAATGTGGTCACGACAATTTCATAGAATGCTACAATTGATGACAAAGTAAATGTGGTCACGACAATTTACTTATCTGGGCAGCAGCCTTTCATAGAACGCCACAATTGATAAATGACACAGTAAATGTGGTCACGACAATTGATGACAAAGTAAATTTCATTTATTTATCTGGGCAGCAGCCTTTCATAGAACGCCACAATTGATGACACAGTAAATGTGGTCATGACAATTTACTTATCTGGGCAGCAGCCTTTCATAGAACGCCACAATTGATGACACAGTAAATGTGGTCACGACAATTTACTTATCTGGGCAGCAGCCTTTCATAGAACGCCACAATTGATGACACAGTAAATGTTGTCACGACAATTTACTTATCTGGGCAGCAGCCTTTCATAGAACGCCACAATTGATGACAAAGTAAAAGTGGTCACGACAATTTACTTATCTGGGCAGCAGCCTTTCATAGAACGCTACAATTGATGACAAAGTAAATGTGGTCACGACAATTTCCTTATCTGGGCAGCAGCCTTTCATAGAACGCCACAATTGATGACACAGTAAATGTGGTCACGACAATTTACTTATCTGGGCAGCAACCTTTCATAGAACGATACAATTGATGACAAAGTAATGTGGTCACGACAATTTACTTATCTGGGCAGCAGCCTCTCATAGAACGCTACAATTGATGACAAAGTAAATGTGGTCACGACTATTTACTTATCTGGGCAGCAGCCTTTCATAGAATGCTACAATTGATGACACAGTAAATGTGGTCACGACAATTTACTTATCTGGGCAGCAGCCTTTCATAGAACGCTACAATTGATGACAAAGTAAATGTGGTCACGACAATTTACTTATCTGGGCAGCAGCCTTTCATAGAACGCCACAATTGATGACAAAGTAAATGTTGTCACGACAATTTACTTATCTGGGCAGCAGAGTTTCATAGAACGCCACAATTGATGACACAGTAAATGTGGTCACGACAATTTACTTATCTGGGCAGCAGCCTTTCATAGAACGCCACAATTGATGACACAGTAAATGTTGTCACGACAATTTACTTATCTGGGCAGCACCCTTTCATAGAACGCCACAATTGATGACAAAGTAAATGCAAGGATCTCTAGGGCTTGCGTTGCCTTTGGCAGATTGTACAAAAGTGTTTGGAACAGAAGTGGCATAACACTGCAGACAAAGCTCAAAATATACAGAGCAGTTGTATTAACTACACTGCTGTACGCATGTGCAACATGGACTGTATACCAGCCCCAGGCTATACAGTTAAATCACTTTCACACAGTCTGCCTTAGAAAACTAATGCAGATCAGATGGCAGGACAAAGTACCTGATAACGCAGCCATGCCCAGCATCCACACTCTACTGATGCAGTATCAAATTAGTTAGGCTGGTCATGTGGCATGCTTGCCAGATCACAGGCTACCCAACAAAAATTCTTCTATGGTGAGCTGCAAAATGGGAAACGTTCCCAGGGTGGGCAAAAGAAACGCTTTAAGGACACACTGAAGTCTTCACTCAAAGCATTTGGGATAAATGACACCAGTTGGGAGGCTTTAAGACCGAAATGCATGACGTGCAAGTCTACACAGAGGCGAGGCTACATGTAAAGCTAACAAAACAGCAAGACTGATTAAGAAAAGGATGGACAGAAAGGCGACTGCAGGAGATCCACTCCTTGGCACAACTCTCATTCCCTGTCCTCACTGTGCAAAAACTTTTCGGACCCGTATTGGCCTCATCAGTTATCTTCGTACTTATACTTGATGAAAAAGAGTGGTCATCATCATATTGATGGACAATACAAACCCGTATTATTATATATACTGAATTTTCTTCATTGATAACTAGTCACATTTTGTAAGCTGCTTCTTTTAAAGAGTCAGTGTGTAACTGTGTCTAATTCATCTTCTCAAACGATGTCAATGTCATCAGCATAACAAAGTATTCTTGTCGCAGTACACTCTTATTTTCAATTTGTTTATAATTTTCTTCGTGACAAAGTTGAAAAGTGAGGACAGAGTATTAACTTGCTTTTTAAACCAGATGTTATTTGAAAACGGTCTGATTTTTTGACTTTATATATGACTATATTATAAGTTTCTTATATACAAACTTGCTTTTCTCAATTGAGCTTCATAGCCGAAGTTTGTGTTTTCTTGTTAGTTAAGCTGTCTATTTTTCGCTATTGTTGTCTCTGTTCATGTGTTACATGTCTGAATGAACCTTTCTAAATTTTCGTAATTTCTTTGCTTGCAGGATAATTTTTTCCCCGACCTCTCTGTTCAGTCTGCCTTTGCGTGTAAAGATTCACCCAAAGAATTCAAATTATTTTGTTTCAAATGTTGCCTTTTATCTTGATATTGGTAGTTCTATGTTCTGTACCTTCATATATGACTCCTGCTTTTGTTTTTCGGTGATGATTTTCATGTAATGTCTAAAACTGCTGTTGTGTAGTTTGCCTATGTGGTCCTGCAGCTGTTGTGTAGTTTGTCTATGTGGTCCTGCAGCTGTTGTGTAGTTTGCCTATGTGGTCCTGCAGCTGTTGTGTAGTTTGCCTATGTAGTCCTGCAGCTGTTGTGTAGTTTGCCTATGTGGTCCTGCAGCTGTTGTGTAGTTTGCCTATGTGGTCCTGCAGCTGTTTCCTTTCACTGTGAAAGGTATTGGTCATCGGCAAGTAGAAGCTCACTGGTCCCCTAGTTCGTCGACACCTAGTTAGTATTTGGTCAGTTACGTTGATACTGACTGTGAATACGATAAAAAGGCAGAGATGATTGAACACACTTTAACCTTACTCACAGTTTTATTAGGGAGTGATCTGTGAGGCCAGCTTTTGTTCTTTCGATAGTTGCGCTTCTAAAGATGGCTTTCACGCGGTCTAGCCTCGTTCCTCTAATTCGGTACTATAGCAGACCCTACAATAATTACAGTTTTTAGATACATACCGTGTATACAGCCCATGAAATGTAGTTTTCAGATACATACCGTATTCCAGACAGCTCATGAAATGTCGTTTTCAGATACATACAGTATTCCAGACAGACCATTAAATGTAGTTTTCAGATACATACCGTATTCCAGACAGCCCATGAAATGTTGTTTTCAGATACATACCGTATTCCAGACAGCCCATTTAATGTAGTTTTTACATACATACCGTATTCCAGACATCCCATTTAATGTAGTTTTCAGATACATACCGTATTCCAGACAGCCCATGAAATGTAGTTTTCAGATACATACCGTATTGCAGACAGCCAATGAAATGTAGTTTTCATATACATACCGTATTCCAGACAGCCAATGAAATGTAGTCTTCAGATACAGACCGTGTTCCAGACAGCCCATTTAATGTAGTTTTCAGATACACACAGTATTCCAGACAGCCAATGAAATGTAGTCTTCAGATACAGACCGTATTCCAGACAGCCCATTTAATGTAGTTTTCAGATACACACAGTATTCCAGACAGCCAATGAAATGTGGTCTTCAGATACAGACCGTGTTCCAGACAGCCCATTTAATGTAGTTTTCAGATACACACAGTATTCCAGACAGCCAATGAAATGTAGTCTTCAGATACAGACCGTATTCCAGACAACCAATGAAATGTAGTTTTCAGATACACACAGTGTTCCAGACAGCCAATGAAATGTAGTCTTCAGATACATACCGTATTCCAGACAGCCCATTTAATGTAGTCTTCAGATACATACCGTATTCCAGACAGCCCATGAAATGCAGTTTCTAGTTAGAGTACTGTATAACATACCGCGCATTGAATAGATACACGAGCCATATTTATTTGCTCTCCTGTGACTATCTTCTAGGCATGTTGTTGGCGTCACTACAGATCTTACATCGAGAACGAACGCATTCTGAACTCCTTCGACAGAAGCTTGGAACGCGAGCAAATTAAAATTGACCTTGGCAATCTGCAAGGGTGGAAACTAATGCAAATGAAATTATGGCTCATAATGGATCGTCCAAGAACTTCGAAGTATGCCATGGTAAGTTATCATTATTATCTCTCATGGATCGGCATATCTCTTAACAATTCTGGAACTTTCGTCTGACTGAACATGTATGTGGTTCAGATATCTAGCAGTGTAATAATCATTACTAACTCTTAAGACTAACATACGAAATACAAAGTCACAAATAAGCGAACAAAACAATTGGAGACATAAACTCACATTTAAATATGTACATTTTTAAAAACTAGAATAAATAAAGAAGATACCCACATTATATATGTTTTAAACCTACATGTATGATATTGTTGTGTACATATTACTGATTAACAGGTCATCTCCTGCTTCCCCAGATGTACGGCGTCACTTCGTTTCTGTTTGTGACAGCTTCCATTGCCGGCTTCTGTTTGGAGACATTGCCAGAACTGAGAACTAAAATAACCCAGAACACAACATTTATGGCCAGTTGCAATGGCGATAGCAGTAAACTCCATGTTGTTCTAGCATCTAATAAAGCTCTAAGTGTACTAGATTTCATCTGCACCGTCTTCTTTTCTCTAGAGCTTGTGATGAGATTTTTGGTTTCTCCGTGGAAAATCAAGTTTATTAGAAGTCCTATGAACATCATAGACTTACTAGCGTTAGTACCACTGTATGTGCAGGTAATCTTCGAGCAGTCAGACCTTCATTCCTGCTATATGAATGAGCGTTTTGTTATAGAGATCATGTTCATCCTTCGAATTTTTCGCATGTTTCGCATCTTCCACCTAGTCAAACATTACCAGGCCCTCAAAGTGTTAGTCTATGCCCTTAGAGCCAGCTTGAAGGAACTAATGATGCTTTTTATTTTTCTCTTGATAGCAACGCTTATTTTTGCTACAGTCATTTACTATGCTGAACGCACCGCAAGCGAGGAAAGCATTACACATTTTAATACTATACCTATTGGCTTCTGGTGGGCTATTACTACAATGACGACTGTGGGATATGGTGATATTACCCCCAAAACCCCTGTAGGTTACATAGTGGGTACGGCCTGTGCAGTTTGTGGAGTACTTCTTGTGGCCCTAACATTCCCTGTGATTTCTAATAATTTTACATTATTCTATGAACACGTTCGTTCTCGGTCACTTTCACCTAGAGTTAAAAAAATAGGCGTTGAAGAAATAGTGAATGGTTATAATGACAGTATGTTTCCCCTGGATGGGCTGTCGGATTATGGATCTGTCTCTCAGAGCACGCATAATTTACATTCCACAGATGAAGCATGTAAAAGTAGGGTGAATACGGCTATGAATGGTATGACCAAAAACTACACGCAGGACGAAGATATCACAAGCCATAAATCGTATGTCCCTCTAGCAAAATTTTGCGATACATCCTCTATGATGGATATCATATTTCAAGAACCAACAGATGATTTGTAAACCATCGAATCAGTCACGCAAAACTGAAAAGGTTGTTACCTCTCGCCTGTTGTTTATTCCACTATTTATTCATCTTGTTATTATGCAAAATTATTTCTCTCCCCACGAACACGGATATCGTCTAAACGCTGAGTAGATTTGTACAAACCCTTTATTTCATTAAATATTGTTTCGTTTAGATTATACATAATTGAAATCGTCCGACCATACGCAACATTTGGTTGGAAAACATTGAAAGTCTGTCTTTTACAAGGGTAGTAGGCCAGTTTCTTACAAATACAAGTCCGCCACTTAGAAACGCCACATTCTTTCCACATGTCGCTGGAACAGCACCAACTAATGTCAAGAGTTTCCGGACACCGAAAAAAAAAAACGACTTAATTTTGTTCCCATCAGCCTGTAGACGAGTCGCAAGTAGGTGCCACGGGGGTGGAAATTCAGCAATTAATTCGAGATAATGCTCTCTCAGAGGATATGATCATTTACACAGACGGTTCAGTGTCAAGAGGCAAAAGAAGTGATTGGGGCTTTTTAGCAAATGTTAATGGTCGACGTTTGGTGCAGGAGAGCCTAGCATATGATACCACAGCATTCAGCTTAAGAATGGAGGCGGGCACTGCAGCTTTCCGCTGGCTAGAGAACACGACACATACACACACACACACACACACACACACACACACACACATCGTGATTGTAACTGACTCAGAAAGCATGTTGAAGAAGATCAGAACATGTATGCAGAGTGGCATGCTTATTATTAACGCGTGCTGACACTCATTCGTTCACTGAACAAAACAAACAAACCTGCTTTAGCCGTATTCCTTTCTGCACATCTTTTAAGCCGTCACATGTTTCCGTTGTTCTTTTATCAAACACGACACGACCATTGCCATATGATACATACTTTCAGAAACATCAGTGGGTATTCTGCAGCCAAATTTCATTGTAGAAAGGGCACGGTATACGATTAAAATAGTGAAACAAATCATGGCACTATATACATACTAACATTATTTGTATTATCTGCAGAATATAATAATAAATACTGACGCAATCGTGACTACAAAATGTAACATAAGTAGGAATAGAGCATGGAAGCGATTTATCTTCGTGTTAGTTAACCCGAAACCCTTCACGCCACAACTAGTCCACGTTAACATCAGCGATTTCTGTAGCAGAAAGTGACTTTAGATGCATATCCTACACTTTCGACAATTCCTTATTACAGTGATTCCCAAACGGTGCGAATTTTCGCACGGGAAAGCCGCGACCTCTTCACAGGGGCGCCGCGAAATATTGTAAAAGCTTCTTAATTAATTTAACCAAGACTCGAATAGTCATACTTTGACTTAGGTTAGGTCGACCAAGAGAAAGTTCGGGAAACACTGCCTTATTATAAAATAATAATAATTTTATCAGAATAAATATCACAGCGGTTGTGTTCTTACAGAAATGCGGACTTCTGTTCAGTCGCAATTGTGTTTCATATTGTTTTGCTTTGATAATATTTCAAATATCTGCTGATCTCCTCTACGTACGCTGTACTAATTAAACCTCCGGTGCTGCTCATATTTCCAGGTCCATGATTAGAGTAATTTCACTTGCCATTCATGCCTTTTTAGGTCGCTGGACCTCTCCTGTGTTAAGGGGTAGTCATGTTTTCCTTATTGCCAACGTAAATCGTTAGGTCTTTTCTCGTCCTCACCGCTCGCTTGCGTTATTATTCTCACGTTCTGCTACCTGTGCGACGGTTCGAGCGTATGGAAACAGCTATATTTTTTTATATTCCTATTCTCCTTGTAACGGCTTTCTTTCTGGAAAGGGGGGGGGGGGCGCCAACGAACGTAGAAATACAGAAAAATCAAAGTTTTGATAGCCAAAAATCGTTTCGCCTGCGGCGCTACCCCCTGAAGTACTTCTTACTTGTCCACAGGCACCTGCGGTGCATGAAATAAACTAACAACAATACAATCTCCCACAAACATTACATACGCCGTGCAAATGCCAAACCAAGCCATATCATAACAACCCCACAACATAGGAGAGGTCCAGCTACCAAAGTGGGCATGAATGACAAGGGAAGCTACTCTAATCCTGGGCCTGAAAACGTGAACTGGGCCAAACATTATACTCAGGAAGAACTTGACATATCAACATTCTTCATTTCCTAGTGTACTAGAACGGAAAAGGCCTAAGTATGGAAAAAAAAAAAGAAAATAATTCGTTAGGCGCGGACTAGAAACATAAATATTTTGGCCCGGACAAGAAATCTTTTGTGTAAAGTCTAGATCAGTCAAGCAAAAAATAAACTAGGCCCACTAACCACAAGTCCTAATCTGAACGAAAAACAACTGGAACTATGATTACCACATTAAACATCTGTTTATTTCACTTAACATAAAATCAGCGTGGTCTACAAATAACATTAACAACAACTAACGTGCTCGATCAGAGGCAGAATCTAAAGTGCTAATCATCTCCAGCTAACAATTAAATATGATAATGATATCATACGCTCCGCGAGATTATCAATGGCAAAAACGGAAACGTATTTAACATGTACGTTAAGCTTCACCATTCCACCAGACCAGCAAATCAGCTATAGCGACCTGCCACTATCTCCTAGCGAGAATACACACCTACAGATCTCTACAGTTTAACCATGTCAGATCTAACTATGGAAACATATAACCGCAGCGAAATCAGCCTGACAATCGGCCTTTTCCTGCAGTCGCCCGTACCCATGCAGGCTAGCCCAGTGTGACGTCCCAGCAACTACACAATGGATAACAATTATTGTCTACAAATCTTCCTCCAACTCCTGTTCTGCATCCCACGGAGTTACTGGCCATAGCCACCTGAAATAAAATCATCCTCTTAACATCACGTAATTACTAGTTACTTGCAGCATCATCCATTACCATACACCCAAAAATAAACTGTCATTGACATATGAGCAAAGCATGACCGTCCCAAGGAAACTAGATAAGGAACGTATAGATCCCAAATAAGAAATTACATCAAAGATTACAGTAGTCATGAAACATCCAGTAAACATTTGCGTTAAAGTTTCAGTTACCATCTGAAAAATCACTAACCCCCCCCCCCCCTCCCCCTTTCCACTTCCCCTTCCTCACCGCCCATCTTCATCAATGATGGCGATATCATCGGAACACGTTAGCAGGTGCACTGGTGTCCAAGGCACCATCAGAGTAGCATAAACCCCCATATATTCCGCTCCGTGATAGAAAAATTCATTTAAAAACATATCAAATCATCACTGACACACAAAAAGCAAAATCTTATTTTTTTTTTTTAATGAACTGCAAAAAACATAGTAATCAGCTAAAATCAGGATTCTTGATCAGCTGGATTTTCTCTCCGACGTCCAGTGATTCTTCACAGATAAGTTCTCTCAGCTTCTTAATACCTCAACCGCGGGGCTTAAATTAGACTGCTTTCACCACCCTTTGCCACCACCTCGTGGCATTAGGAAGACGTTTGCCTTTGCCACCACCGCGTGGCAATTAAAGGAGTTTTCACAACTTTTACCTCAGCTTCGGGGAAGCCTAAAATAGACTTTTTGGTCACTACCTCGGCTCTGGGTGAGCTTACAATGGATATTGGACATAACCTCGGCTTCTGAGAAGCATACAAAACTGTCATTTTCGGTCACTGCCTCGGCTCTGGGTGATCCTACAATGGACATCGGGCATTACCTCGGCTTCGGGGAAGCCTACAATAGATTCACTTCTGTCTCAGCCGCATGACCATCGAGAGACATATCGAACATTACCTCGTCTTCGGGAAAGCCTACAAACTGACATTTTTGGTTACTACCTCGGCCGAAGGCCTACAAATTGACATTGTCGCGGCCACAGGGCCATCGAGAGACATATCGCACTCTTGTCTCGGCCGTATGGTCACCGAGAGACACGTCACCAGTTATGCCCATATCTTGGCCGCTCGGCCATCGAGAGACAATTTTATCGTCACTGCCACCGCCGTGTGACTTCCGAATGACATTTCCAACACAAATACCTCGATTTTGTAAAAGCCTGCAGTAAAATGTGAGCGACATTACCTCGGTCGCAGCCTACAATGTATCGACTGGTTACAACAATGTTAAAAAACTTCATTGCGTAACTGGCTAGGTCGGTGTACTTCACACAAGGCTCCCTAATATATGGCCAGACCTACAGTTAAACCTTGATACAGAGACAATATACAAAATAAAATGACCTCAAGTTTAGGTCGAGACGTAAACAAGCCACTCCGTGGACAATAGACAAAAACTGCTCCTAGTCAAAAGTAGACACAGACCACTCCTAGTGGAATAAAACTGTTAAGTAACATCTAATCACACAAAACTAACTACGCAGGCCGCGCCTACACATGTTCTAAACCAAATGTTAATCAACATGATAATCTGAGTCGACCAGACTTGTCAAATTAACCCACTCCACAACGCTACTCATCCGTGAACAAGATGATGTAACATCTAACTAATTACACGGAAAAAATATTCGATAAAGAAACCACACACGTGGGCGCCATTCATTAATTAAATTTTGTAACACACATAGTCTATAAATAAAAAGAGCATGTGGGCGCCATTCACAACCAGATTAAAATATGAATCACTCTACCTGCACAAACTAACTAGTGCTCCATCGTGAATTTAATTATGTAACATATAACTATACAAATATCCATAGACTGCAGTGTAGAGGCCCCACACGTTGGACGCCATTCAAAACTAATCTAAACTACGAGCCACTATAACTAGACACAAAACAAATCATGGCCACCTAACCTGCCCGACGACGCCACTTGTACTAGAAGAGAAAAGCTCTAAGTACGAGGAAAACAAATAAGACAAAATAGTTCGTTACGCGGGAACTAGAAACAGAAATATTCTAGTCCAGGCATGAGATTTTCTGTGTAAAATCTAATCAGCAAAGCAACAAATAAATAAAGCGACCTGCTATCAAACT